TAATGACATTGCAACAGCAGCAGAAAGGTACCTATTGACATCTTAAGTATTAAAATGGTGATTATAATTGGAGTTGTTGCCAAGATGGAAAGTTGGAGAATCTGGGAAATTCATTAGGTATCTTTGAACAAAATGTGTTAATGCAGAGAAAGAAGTTCAATTTGTTTGCATGCAGAAGCAAATTGGGATTTTTTGCAAGTGGGTACCCAAGATGCTAGGTAACTGACTCCACTTCAAGTAGGCTTCTCCATGTACAGGTAGTCCTCGAATTACAACAGTTCATGTTGTAATTGGGTGTCACAGTTCAAAGTTACAACAGCACTGAAAAAAGTGACCTACGACCATTTTTCACACTTAACGACTATTGCTGCATCCTCGTGGTCGTGTGATCAAAATCCGTATGCTAGACAACTGACTCATATTTGCAATGCCTTGGGATCATGTGATCAGCTTCTGGGACCTTCTGACAAGCAAAATCAATGGATTCACTTAATAACTGTTACTAACAAACAGCTTCGGTTATTCACTTAAATGTGGCAAGAAAGGTTATAATATGGGGCAAAATTCATTTAACAAGTGTTTCACTTAGCAACAGAAATTGTGGACTCAATTGTACTAAAAAAATACACTGAAATTTGTTCTGGGATAATTATTACACTTGGGTAGTCTATGTTACTTATCTCAAGCTGTTTATTATTTTCAATATTTTGTTGATCATTGTGTTCAAATAAAATTATATAGTGTGGCATTCCTCCAGAATAGATTTTGAAACCTCTCAAGAGGTCTGGTAGGGGCGTGAGACATTTTTTCTCTCCAGTTCTTTCAAGCAAAATCTTGTAAAAATTCATCTGATTTCACTGTGCTCTGTTCCAGTTAAGAAGTCAATTTTTATTCTCTGCTTTGCCCTGTCAGTGATAATAATAGTCCTTCTTGATCCACCATCTTATTATTTTCCTAATATGCTTGTGTTTATCTGTTTTTTTTTTAATGATCATACTTTTGTCATTTTTGCCTTAAAGTCTCCTTTTGGCAATAGCTTGCTTTTTTTCCCTTGTAAGTTGCTGCCTGGGTAAAGAACATAGGTTTTTTTTTAGGTCAAGACTAGGTTGTAATCAGTGGGTGACTTGGCTTCAGTGATAGCAAACATATATTCCAGAATAATGTGTTTAGCTGCACTTTCTCTTTGGCCCATTTTCTCCCCCTCTCCCCTTTTGTTGTCTGGGTAAATTAAGAAAGTGAAGATATACAGAACTGACCCATATTGCAGAAGGTGTCTTTGAATCCTTTCAACTTTTATCATATATACACATTTAAAGAGATTGAGACTGCTGGGTCAAGCTGGGCGTTTCACTAAGGAGAACAAATAAAACAAGTGAATGGAATCTTTGGGACAGAAATAAACTTAATGCAGAAAGCCAAAGCAACACAATGCTTTAGAGAGGCATCTAATGTTTGAAGCATCAGGGTTGGGTTTAATGCATCACTGCCATAACAATGCCAATGGGCTTCAGTTCCAAAATGACAAATTTCTGTTCCAAACACAGACAATAAATCAACCCTTTAATGTCACATATGGTACTTGGCTTGTGGCAGTACTATTGGCATGGTTCTGCTGGAACCCTGAAAATTTTGCATTTACTTTAAAAAACACCTTTCGAATATAGCAAAATATTGGAACGTTCAATTGCAACAATCCTAACATATGAGATGCATCTGTATCAGGTGCCACATTCAATTACTTCAGCTACATTACATGCTTTCAATTCTAGATAAATTTATTGATTTAAAGAAGAATTTGGGCATAGTGCTTGGAAGTCCACTGAAACATTGTACCATTATGGTGCTACTAAATTATTTGTTCCTTCCAACTTCATTGAGAAAAGTCTTAACAGCACTGAGAACAGCAATATTTCCAAGATCGCAAAAAGTCTGAGGATTCACGTTAGCAGTAGTCAGTACAGTCTCTCTCCAGCACTATGAACTGGAAATTACAGCATTACAATAATGATGTGTTCATACTGTAGAAGGTTCTACTGTATCTAGCTTGATTTTTTCATCAATATATTCCATTTAAAAAATTCATTTACATTCTCCTCCCTTTTTGCCTTAGACAAAGATTTCAGTGTTCCTTTAAAGTCTGAATGTAAACTCACATATGGAAACACTTAACTTTTTTTTTTCATAAGGAGAGAGCTTCTACGGAGTTAACACTGAAATGTGTTTGGAGCTTAAAATTCAAATTATTAAACTGAATTTTTTAGTTATTCTTTCAACCACTATGAATTTAAACTGAAAGCCAAACCTCTCTAAACTATTTCCTTGGAAACTTAGTAACTATTGATTAAAACTGACCATTCTTTTAAGAAAAAAATTGTTCCTTTCTTTACAAGAAGGTTTTATTTTTAAGCAAGCTAAACTAATTTAATTTGATTTATGTAATTAATTTAATTTTTATTTATTTAAACAAAGCTGTATTATTTTAAGCTGAAAGATGTTTAGATTATCAGCAAAACGCCTCCGTTTTATATTAATGACTTTCCCTGCTCCCAGTCTACCTCTATCCATATCAAAGTGGCATTGTCTGCAATTCCATCTAGATTTAGAACTTTGAGCTAATTAAACTGTATAGGAATCCCTGCTACATGAGGCCAATTTTATTTATATAGTTGAATTATAGTTTCATATCCAAAAGGCCTGGACTGAAATTGTCATTAATTTCATCATCAAATACTCAAGAAACTTCCTGCCAACTGCTAAATCCAACATGTTTTCTACACCACCACATAGAAACCCTAATCTGTATGGATTTGTACCCCTGCACATCTGGAAGGTAGCAAGTTGGTTAGTGCAAAGCTCATTGTAAGCCTAGTGTGGTTATGTGGAAGGCCATCTTTCTAGTCTGTTGAAAACATCAGATATTGAAAAAACTCTTGAGTTTATATAACAAGTTACCACCAATCTAAATACAAGGATGCCTAGAAATGAAAGTTTCAAAAAGTTCCCTCTTGAACTATTGGTCTTGTCAGGTGAACCAATACAGTTTGTAATATCTGAGGCATGTCAATCAATCGGGGTGACATTTGAATAGCTGATTGCTTCCAAGAGTAATAAAAACTACAATGAAATCCAGGAGGACACAGATCAAATGGAGACAAGGTCACATTAGCAATGATAAAAGAATCAGAAAGGAACAGAGATTCTTTAGAGAACCTTTATTTTTCACATAATTACTTCAATATTATGTAGAGATGCCTTATAAAACTACTTCAAAGCTTCAAATGTAATAGCATGTGTTTTATGCAAAGAGAGGATGCTAAAGTAGGTGATAACCTACTCATATACATGATGAATCGCATTGATTTCCATTTTCCAGTGGAAAGTGTTAAATAGATGAGCCATTCTCTCATTGAAATAAATGATGCTTAAAATGTTATCTGCAGCTTGTTCTGTGAAATTTTAATGGTTCAGTGTTAATTTTACTTACCTAGGTCTATTTCTTAACTACAAAAATAAATGTGTAATCTGCTCTTTATGCATTTGAATGGAAGAAGGATTATCAGTCTGAACACAAACTAGGTATCTACCGTGGCCCAGAAAAAGTGGTACTGCCAAAAAGGGTTTAAGATAATGTCCACTCCCTTTTGCAACTTTAATAACCCATGAATAAATCTTTTTTCATCATGTCCAAAATTTAGTTTTTTCTCCATACTGCGGAATGTGATAGCAAGAAGTGTAGTGAACATCAAGTCAAGTGGGTAGAAATGAAGTCAAGGAAGAAAATAGTGCAAAAGTTTTTGATGGTATAACACAGCCTGCCAATTGGGCCTTTACTTGTTTTGCAAGTATAAAAACTCCTGCAATAGATCTTTGGATTAGGGTATAACAAGTGTAGATATATCCTTTGCTTAAACAGCATAACTGATTATCATGGCAGGTGATTTGGCTTCCTTTTTTCTTGTTCATTTTGTAAACAGGCTTCTATTTTGATATAAATATTTTGCAGACATAAGTCATTAAGTCTACCCTTCTGATCATGTATGTTCAAACAAGATAGTCTTTTAGAACTGGCTTGTTTATACTATAAGAGCAAATCTGATCACATATCCATTAAAATGTCCACTTCTTCTCATAGATTGAATGACTTTCTGCTCATGCTTCATGCATCAGGAAAGATTGCATAACAAGTTGACATGTAGTGTAGGGCACAAAATTCTTATTTATGAAGCTCATAAGAATGGATCTGTGGAAAGAGAAACACAGTTACCAAACTAGCATCATTAAGATATGCAGGACAAGAATTCCCAGTCAACATGGGCGCTGCCTCTCCTGGCTAGGAATTCTAAGAGCATCTCTCCTGGACAAAGTGAGGTTGTGAGGGTTGATCTCAGAAAGGTTTATCTATTTATTTGTAAAACTTGTGTGCCTGAATCTAGCTATTTGGTGTGAAGTTTACCAAGTTCATCAACATGGGCAAAATCTAAGAAAATTAAAATAACTAAAATATTAATTAAAAATTACAGCATTTTAAAAGTGGTGTCACAATATAACAAACCCAAAGTCTCCGTAAGAGCCCTCTTTTGTTTCTTGGGAGCCATGACGGTGGAGGTTATATATGGCTTCAGGCGGCAAGCTGGTCCTAAGGAGAAAGGCTGCTACTGAAGCCATTCTCCCTCAACAAAGATGCATGTGACACAGGAATGTCTGTGCATATGTTTATATTATTGCTCCCAACAAAAGGCAGAGCCAGGGCAAAGCAAGTCAGTTAATTAAATTAAAAACTATTAATTGAAATTAAATGCTTATAAAATAAGGCACCTTATTTATAAAATGATTTGATCTCTGCATAAGCCAACTGTTGTCTCATACAGAAAACACCCGCGGAAAGAATTATATACACACATGCCCACACACTCCCATTTCTTCTTCCAGGAGAAACAGCCAAAAAGAACAAAAGATCAGAGCAGGGCAAGGATGAGGAATAGCTGTATTTGGAAGGGAAGGGAAGAGAAAGGGAGGAGAAAGACTGGATGGACATAAGCTAAGAAGAACAGCAGAGAGAAGGCAACAAAAGGGAGCCAAAGCCCTGTTTGAGAATTCCAAAAAGGGGAATTCACCAAACAGCCGATCCCAGCCAGCAATTAAGCTCAGGCTAATCTGCAAGCACAGCCATTCTTTGCAATGGTGATGTTTCCAAGCCTTTGTTAATTCCTTTGTTTCTTTAAAGTTTCCAGCTTTACCTATGGATATAAGATGGCTTCTCGATTTACAGGTAATTATTTTTTTGGAGAGGGGGGAACACTCCTTCCTATCCAATGAATATGGAATTTTGTTTTTTTCAAAAAGCCATGCCACAAAGAGTTTGAGAACTGCCTGGAGGCTAAGGGGGTTTCTCAGGATTGATCTAGGGATTTATGATCTTGGTTTCCCGAGAAAGAGGTAAGGACAGAAAATCTATCATCTGGAGTACAGGAGGCAGTTTCTTTCTTCTTTTTTTTTGAGATATGTAACTTGCTTTTTCATTTTTGCTTCAACTCTCATAAAGGATATGATAATAAATTAGTTCAGGGATATCCTAAGTGCCTTATGCCACCAGACTTGAAATTCTAGACCTAGAAAACCTAGAACTATGCCACCTTCGGTCCAATCTAAGTATAGTACCTAAAATTATATATTGCAATGTCCTACCTGTCAATGAATACTTCAGCTTCAACCATAATAGTACAAGAGCACACAATAGATGCAAACTCATGGTTAACCGCACCAAACTTGATTGCAGGAAATACAACTTCAGCAACAGAGTGTTCAATGTCTGAAATACTCTACCTGACTCTGTGGTTTCTTCCCCAAACCCCAAAAATCAAATCACACTAGGAAAAAGTCAAGTGGGAGGGGATGGGTGATAAGGAGCGGTGAGAAGATTAACAGTAACAGTAATGTACACTTTGTAAATAGTTGAACAGTGTTGAGGGAATTATTTGTTTAGCAGAGTGATGGCTTTCGGGGGAAAACTGTTCTTGTGTCTAGTTGTTCTGGTGTGCAGTGCTCTATAGCATCGTTTTGAGGGAAGGAGCTGAAACAGTTTACGTCCGAGATGTGAGGCGTCTGTAAATATTTTCACAGCCCTCTTTTTGACTCGTGCAGTATACAGGTCCTCGATGGAAGGCAGGTGGATAGTAACTGTTTTTTCTGCAGTGCTAATTATCCTCTGAAGTCTGTGTCTGTCCTCTTGGGTTGCAGAACCAAACCAGACAGTTATAGAGGTGCAGATGATAGACTCAATAATTCCTCTGTAGAACTGTATCAGCAGCTCCTTGGGCAGTTTGAGCTTTCTGAGTTGGCGCAGAAAGAACATTCTTTGTTGTGCTTTTTTGATGATGTTTTTGATGTTAGGTGTCTATTTTAGGTCATGTGATATAGTAGAACCTAGAAATGTGAAGGTCTCTACTGCTGATACTGTGTTGTCTAGTGTTGTAAGGTGGTAGTATAGGAAGGTTTCTTCTAAAGTCTACCACCATTTCTAATTCTCACCACTCCTTATCACCCATCCCTTCCCACTTGACTGTTTCCAAGTATGATTTGATTGTTGATTGTACCCTATGACTATCATTAAATGTTGTACGTTATGATTCTTGATTCTTAATGAATGTACCTTTTCTTTATGTATACTGAGAGTATTTCCACCAAGACAAATTCCTTGCATGTCCAATCACACTTGGCCAATAAAGAATTCTATTCTATTCTATTCTATTCTATTCTATTCTATTCTATTCTATTCTATTCTATTCT